GAAGCAACTTTTCTTTGCTGATTTTATTTCTTTTTGAAAGTGAGTTTTTATTGCACAATGCGAGATTGTATTTGCTGATTGTGTGTGTGATTGTTGTCTTCATGAAACCTGTGATCAGAGACAATAATAGGAGTCCTCTTTTAACATCCAAGGAGTGAGGATGCTCCAGCTTCTTTCATTTTTCTGCAGTCATAATGTAGTTTTGTACTTTTAAAATTAAATCCCCTTGGAGGCTGGGTAACTGCCTCAGCACTCAGATGTCTCTTGCATCTGGAATATTTTTAATGCAGTTTAAAATCTGCAATAATTGGCAAATCCCATATGAGACCCTCCCACAGTTAACTGAATGGGTTTCAACAATTGATTGCACTTAAATAAACGTTTTTTTACTCATGAAAAACATCAAGTATTTGGAGGAACATTCTTCCTCACTTAAATCACCCAAGGGGGTTCTCACCCAACCCCCTTAATTATGACTATATGAGATCACCTTTGGACATGATTCTGGATCATGTCAGAAATCACAAAAATGTGATAAGAAATTGTACCTCGTTCTTTGGTCTTCTTCCAAATTATGTTGCAGGGCCCAGAAACGGTTTCGAGAACTTTCCCCCATCAGTGTGCCATCCATCATGACTGGCAGCGAAGCGCAGACAATTACAGTGCCCCTTGATGTAATGGAAACTCTTCCTGAGTTGAAGGTGAGTCATTGATTATAGCTGGGATGATTTTAGAGAAACAGTCATTCCTGAGTGTATCTAGGCTGCTATTTGATTTTCCAGGCACTCCTTTACAAAATGCATGTCTGCCTCCATTTCTGATCAGTATACAGTATCAATTCCAATCTATTTCCCATGCTTTTTGTATTTTTTTTTACAAATACCATATCATCCTTGATTCAAACGCATGCCACAGTTTTCATGGATGAATGAATATAGTATATTTACATCATTTGATGGACTCCAATTTAGGTCTAGATATATAAAATGTATCTATCCAATCACGACAAGGATACTGGAGGATAGGTTTGGGTCAACTTTTGGTACGCTTGATCAAGAGAAATACTTGATTCAACGATTCCTGTCGAAAATTTCTGACATCTTTCAATGATTTGTTTATATTGAACAATTTTATCGCATATTGATATCCCAATTCCTATCTTATACACCAACCTTTCGATGTTCTGATTTTTTGGAGTAGAAAATGCGATCGAGACTCCCCTTCAAATTCTTGCGGTGAATTGTACATCCGTGTAAGATCATCTTACTTCTACGATTAAACGTACTACTGTACTCGCATATCTTAACAGTATTTTCTATTTTCATTGTGAAAAATCATTTTGAATGCTGAGGAAAGGTTCTGACAAAAGGAAACGTGTTTAGTCAATTCAAAAAGTGCTTCGTACATTGTTTGGGTTCTTGCAAATATGATACGTGCATTTTTTGATGCAGTGACTCGAATACCTGTATACTGTATCTGTTTAGATGCTGCAGAAAAATAGTAGATCGCTCAATGAAGGAGTCATTCCCCGCCTAATGATGAAGTTTGTTCTTTCAGACGAGGCATGAGTGTGACCACCTGCATGAAATATTGCACACGTGTAAAAAGGATGGTTATCTGTCAACGGCTTAACGCTTAGGTCACTAGAGGGGTGGGGGTTGGTGGAATAACGTCAGCATTAAAATGCTGCATTATTGTCGTCAAGCCAAAATTGGAACAACCTCATCTGCTGGAACTGGACTATTGTCGTATAGCTTGTCTGCTAGAACTGGACTATGCAGCATTGTAGTCAGGATAACAAGGGAATTATCTATGCCTATGGTACAAAAGGAAAAAGGTTGGGTTAGGCTTGGATTCTGGAATAAATTCCTGTTGTTTTCATATCTCTAAGCATTTGGGGGTTTACTTAAGTCCCTATCTTATTTGACGTAAAGTAATACTCTACACTTGTTTGAGAAAAGGTCTGTCTGCATGGGATAAGATTATTTCAGTTTGCACTTGACCACCTTATTCCAGCCATCCCACTGTTGGTAACTTTGATAGGTAGTGTCTTGGCATTAGCAATGCAGTTCCCTGGTCAAACTCATTTGGACCATCATATCCTGAACAGATGGAGGAGGGCGAGTTAAAATTGAAAAAAATTCAAAACGTTGGTAAACATCGCACCAAACACTGGTAGGAAACGTGAATACAAATCAAGTGAGGAAAATGCTGTTTCTCAAGGTCACGTGACGTTGAAACTTTTCCCGCATTATTATTGCTTGTGAAGGTGCTGGAGGTTCGACTGATACTACATGTTCAACTCTACCTTTCTGATTCGAAACCTCTGTTATTGTGAAGATGAATGATCCCCATGTTTTCGCGATTTTCGTTTTATATTCTTACTAGGAAAATCCCTTCAGGAAACGTCTGTGTCAGGTGTTCTCCAAGAACAACTCCGGTGCGCTCACTTTTGACGACTTCCTGGACATGATGTCCGTGTTAAGCGAAGCATCTCCGAGACAGATTCGAGTCGCTTATGCTTTTCGAATTTTCGGTGAGAAATCCTGGCTCCTGATGCAAATACTACTCGTTATCTTTTTCATGTTCATTGATGCGAGGTTTCTTTCAGAATTAATGCATGTGTGGGGCCTTTTCTTTTGTATCGTCAATAGACAAGAAATTGCATGTGTTCCAATACAAAATATTCGACATAAATGATTAAAATCAGCATTATTTTCTAATTCATGCAAAAGCGGCATCCTTATAAATTCATAAGATATGGATAATATTGCACATTGCTCCTAGATGTCACTCATGCATGATTAATGCATGTTCCACTTTGAATGGGTTATCCATAAAATAAGAGGGCTGGATAATTTGATGAGCATAATAATTTGAATATATGATACCAGGATTTTCAGGAATTTGTCCTCTGTTTTTTAAAAAGCAGTTACAGTACATTGTTAGAAAATGTTGTCCAATTTTCCTGTCAGGAACCTGCGTTTTACATTAAAGCTGAAGGGGAAAAAATGTCTGCTTAACACATTTTTTGCCCAACAAATGCGGTGAGGGAACAAATTGTGTTTTGGAGGCACCAGTGCACATGTACATGCAGGAGGTGAATTGGGTGCTCAAATCCGAATATACTCATTTTCCCTTACTGTACATTCTAAAACGATGAAGACTACAACGATGACGGGTACTTGGGATGGTCGGACTTGGAGCAAGCCGCAAACGAGCTCACTTCAGGTGGGCTGGACAAGGATGAAGTCCACGTCATTGTCGGCAAAATCATGGAAGAAGGCGACATCGACGATGACGGGAAGCTGTCCTTCATTGAATTTCAGCATATTATCGAACGCACACCCGACTTCATGACCAACTTTCATGTTCGTATTTAGCGCGATGTTTTTCTTCCATGTCTACTTCAGTAAACTGTATAAGTGCTTGCTGCCTGTTGCATAGCAAATGAATCTTCAAATTCCCATCTGATCATGCATTGGGTTTGGCTTTCGTTTCCAAAAATTGAACCATTGTAGTGTGAGTGTGTGACGCGTTGTCAACCTCGAAAAATGAACTTTCATTTTCAAAATTCACATCATCCATTCTACGCTAGGCCTTATTTTTGTTCTGTGAATATGAAAGATATAATTTGAAAATATGCTTTCTGCATGTGGAGATACAGGTTACCATGAAACCGAAATGCAACTGTCGGGTTATTTTGATAGCAATCCTCGGTATTTTTTTTTGTGTGTGTATGCTACTTTGATTAATGATGTGGGTTATGTATATAAAGGAAACACAACGTTCAAGTCAGACGACAATCACAAAAAGGTGTACAATCCATTTTTATTCTCTCATTTTTCCCAATAAAGTCGCAGTAAAACACTATGGCAAAGAACTCGCGATCTCACGGACGCAAAGGTTGAGAAGAGCATGCTAAGTTACGAACGAAAAACTAACCGCATTTGTGTTACAGAATTTCACCTAATATCCATTTGATCCCAAGATTCCCAGCATAGTTCCACGATTTCCTTGCTTGTGCAGATGACAAATGCAATGTAATATGCGGGCACCCGCAATGATCTGCTCGCTCATGATCTGTTTGCACACCGCGCTGGTCTTTCCTTGGATGGACATTCCCCCAAACAAAACCTTTGTAGTAAAATTACGCAGTATGTTATTTTCCTCTGTTTATTCACTGTAATTGAATTATTCTTAAAAATTCTAGACTTTGGGGGTGGTTAGGTTAAGTTAGGTTACGTCAGGTCATGTTAGTTAAAAAATTTTTCAACTTACCTAACCTAACCTAACCTAACCTAACAACCTAACCCAACCTAACGTAACCTAACCTAATCTAAACTAATTCAACATAACCTAACCAATTTACTTAAAAGCAAATAAACAGAGGAAAATAAATTATGTCCTAATTTTACTACAAAGGATTTCTTCGGGGGAATGTTCATCCAAGGAAAGACCGGCGCGGCGTGTGAGCAGATCATGAGGAAGCAGATGTTTGCGTGTTACCGTAATATGCATCATGAAAGCAAAGGAAGGCGAAGTTGGCGACACCTATCTGTGCATTGGGAAGCACAAAAGAAATGTTCTCACCATATTTAGGCCGTGCCGCGTATATCTCCATCCACGCATTGCACCGTAATATGCATCATGAAAGCAAAGGAAGGCGAAGTTGGCGACACCTATCTGTGCATTGGGAAGCACAAAAGAAATGTTCTCACCATATTTAGGCCGTGCCGCGTATATCTTCATCCACGCATTGCAGCAATGTGCATTGGATAAGCATTTGATACTGAAATAAATATCGTTCGCGAATTAGTTGAGTTACTGTGGCAGCGTCGCACATTATTCCAAATTATTTCACACTCCATTAATTCATTCTTTTGTTATGTTTCGACAATACTAGAAAATTTTGTCGGAATTTGTGCTTTCAAACGGCACTGGATTTCGTTTTCTACCAAGTAGTTTTTATCTCAATACATTTAGCTATATATACAGATGCTTCTTTTCCAATGGGAACACTGAAGTTTTGGGATAAGAAATTCATAAAAACTGCGGTTACGAAACTCATGTGATAAATGCATTGTATATTCTGCAAACGATTAGCTTATCCTCTCTACATGTACTTCACAAAAGTACAGCAGAGTGCCATCGAGGATCACATAGTTTGTTAGGCAGTTGTTTATTGAACCGCAGAGATTTTCAGGAACACTATGATTTTCTTCAGATTCCGTTGGATTTCTTCCGCCTAGCTTTTAGAAAATATTCTGCAGTACCTTAATCAGGACCAATTTTTTTTTTCATATACTCGCAATAGGTTGGTTCACTGCGTGAGCGAGTGTCTTGAAAAGTGATGAAATTCTCACTCTGGTACGCTATCCGACGCGTCGAATTCTATGTGTCGATAGGATCCACATTTTCCGGACTAACCGGAAATGATATAATGAAATCAACACTCATCCCTCCTTATTAGCGCGTCTCACATCCAGCACAATAGATCTCTCGCTGCGACCACCATTAGTTAGAATACTGCGGTTTCCTTCACATGTAAAAAAAGCTATATCGTTCGGTAAGTATGCTTTAGAATAAAGCATTATTTCTGTAGTCGCTAATTGCTTGCATTACAACGACAAAAACCTTCTTTTTGATCTATTTGAACATAATGTATCCTGCTTTTCACTCCGCCGTGAGAAAATTTTAAGATCCAAAAATTCACCTTCTCAGTGGTGATTGCTATGCACATAGTGGAAGATACGTGAGTATAATGCGTGCATGCACAGCAAAGGTACAACGTTCGTGATCTTTAATTTTTTTACGCATAAAGTTTGTCACACAATGATGAGACAATCCATGGATACAGACTGTGTATATCTTATGCCTTTAGTAAGCATGTATTTTTATTATCACAAATAATATTTGCTTTCATGGATAAATTGCAAAAATGAAACTTACTGTACTACAGTTGGTATTCTCTTAAACTCAAATGTATCTTCTGGAAAACGAGGAATGCGCATCATGCAGATGATTTTCAAATGCATAGTATACTACAGTACTGCAATTGGAATTCATTTCAAGCACAAATAATGGGCTTCTGCTGAACGCCATGTCGAAATAGACGTTATTTTTAGAACCGCAAGTGTCAGTATCTGCGGCAGTGCGACAGTGTATCTGCAAGTTGCGCTGTCTTGAGGAAAATCTACTATAACAAAATAATTTGTGGGTCTGATCCCCTATAAAATAAAATGAGACCAACACATGTAGACACCTCAACATTGGAACAATTTGACAAAGGAACATTTATTTTTCAATAAAAAATCATAAAAAAGCCCAACATATGGACACTGACTCAACATATGAGGACATTGCATGATAAAATTGCCAATGCATCTCTGGAAAATTGACTTTCATTAGGCTTAATTGCAAGAAACAAATATTTCCAACTGCCCCAACATCTATGCAAGAAAATTTCTTTGGTACTTCTCCCATAACTTTCCCATCCATTCAGCAAATTAAAAAAAATTACCTATAGCAAATAGGGACTTCCTTCTCTCTTTGTGACTTTGATTTTGTATTTACCAATGCCAACATTTCAAGGAACTGTAGAGCAGTATACTATCCATTGCTCCAATGTTCTTACTGGGTTGAAAATATATTCACTGGATCAGATTTAAGTGGCAAACAAATTTTTTCTCAGGGAATTCTGAAGCATATTTCTTCCATGGAACACCAATTACAAATTATATAATGTAAGTGTATGTGAAAACAAGGCTTGAATTAGAGACAATTCAACTTGAGAACATTGCACCAATTAAGTCCACATCTGGGGGTCTCACTAGTTTTATATTGGCCATGAAGAAGACAAGCAGCCAATAATTTACGGTGATTCAAGGTACATGGCCCTTTTCTGAACATGAATCTTGTCCTCATCTGTGCGACTTATTGTAAAGACTAAAGGCATAATTCCAAAAAACCTCAGGGAAGATTCCACGATATTAATATGCTTTAGGTTAGCATTGGGGTACTTTATGTTTACTCCGACAGATAGATGAGTGGATCTTCGGCTGTGACACTCGGATTTGCTTCGCTTGATTTTCTTCCAAATTGAAAGTCGACGATGAACTTCTCCTGGAAACAATGTGACTTCTGAGTTCAAAGGTAATTTCCAAAACAATGGCCTGTGGACTCGAAATGTTGAATCCGATATGAAAATTTCCGCGAACATGGACCTTGACAGGATAATACTCTCGGTGCATATCCTAGGAAGGAGTTGACAATAGCATTGTAAATAGGTTGGAATGAGTTACCCATGCTAGCCATGTGATTTGAGAATTCCATATGCTGTGTTTACTGGAGTACCATGCGCTCTTTTTTTCTTAAACTTCGTAGGACAAAATGCGTCATATAAGCGGCCAAAGCAGGTAAACGTTCTAAAAATAGGCATACATATATTGGTGTACATTATACTGCACTTGATTCTACGTCTGGTGCCCTGAAATTCCTCCTTAATCTTTTGCTGGACCAGGGTTGAACTGCAAAGTGGACAAGTTGCAAAGGTTACATTAAAGGTTTTGTACACGACCATGGATGTAACATAAACTACAAAAACTTGTATGGACGACACCCATTTTAAAACCCCGACTCCAGTTTAACGCTCAGTTGGAGAGTCGGTTAAACTGGTACAAATTTTGGGACGGTCAAATTGAGGGAAGTTATATTTAGAGGTATTACCTGTCATGGGAAATTTTGGACCACGTTTTGAAGAGAATTTATTGGAAAACTGATTTTATTGGAAAAATTGAAGGTTAGATGGATTCAGGTTCAAATCATTCATAATTCGAAGTTTGGTTTTATTATTCTTGAAATACAGTATTGTGGTTTTAGAGTCTCTAAGAATGGGGAATTTCTTGCTGGGGGGATGCAATTTTATCTGAATTTTTGACTGAAAGACCGAGGTGCGTGTGTTACATGTGGATGCCTTGGACAATAAATTTTTCTTCCTTTACCCCTGCTTGCATGATGACACCAAGCTGGAAACTGTCTTAAAATCCAAGAAAAAACTACAACAGTAACAACAACAAAAAGAAAGTAAACCACACCCGAATGATTGTGAGCCATAACATTGGTGGGATGATTATATAATGCACAGTACTGTACTTTTATTATTATCGCCGGTCAACTTTCTCCACTGGCACTCTTTCATCCCTGCATGTACATCACAAGTCCAACAGTCATGAGGCTAAAGCTCAAAATTTCGTACGATTTACTGCCACCCTTCCTCTGTGACAAAAATCAAATCGGAACAAATTTGAATCTATGATATTGATGCTTTGAGAACCAAAAAGCACACAGGAATTTATCTTATTTGAATACATTACTGTACTGT